CTCGGTTGTTGCAGCCCGCCTTCCGGGTTGGGGCCCACGGGATGAAGATTATTGTTGGTTAGAGACGCTGCGAGATATGGGCCAGAATAGACGTCATTGGCGCGAATGCTTATGGTTTGCCTGTTAGAATCCCGTGTCCCATAAAAAACGATAAACTAACACAAAAAATATCAAAATATGTAGAGTGAGGGCAACAAAAATTTGTTCTGTTCGTTATTCAACTTGACTAACTGAATCCTTTTTAAACTGCTTTGTATAACAAAGCCACATTTAATGTCATTCTTGTTGTTGCGTTGACACCAAGCTTGTCCGAAAGCTGGTGATATATATATATATATATATAAAGAGCGCCGGCCTTGGAGTTGACGAAACTCTTGGGCTCAATGTGGGAGAGAGAACAAGTTTCAATTGAATGGTGTAAATCGGTAAGGTAACCGATTTACAAGAAAGGTAACAGATCCTCTCTTGAAAACCACAGAGGAATTAGTTTATTCAACGTGGTCTCTGAAATTTCTGCTGATATTAAAATCCGTCGATTGTCTGCCATTGTGCTGCTACATGAAGATCCAGGTTAGTTGCAAGCTTTTCTGAATAGCTTGAGTGCTAGTGCAGCCTTATTTGGTGTGCGTTTTGTCTCTTTAAAGTGTAACATGTTGCCACGAGAATGGGTTGGCCCGGCCCCGCACCTCACTCCAGCTGGGGAAGTAGACACATTTTGCTATTTGGGTGGCTATATCTCACCTAGGGAATGCGTCACAGATAAAGTGTCGGCACGCACACAGAAGGTTCTGTTGCCATTTGCCAACTTGAGACATTTGTAGCGCCGTCGCGATATCCGGCTGTCTGTGAAGCGTTGAGAAGCAGATGAATGCTGCGTTCCAATTGTTTTAGGGTAAAAACACTTATGAGCATTTATATCATTGTATTTCACACACGTTTGAGGCCAGACTGTGCCAAGCAAATTACGGTACTCGTATTTAACTCACAGCTACTTGTGAGTAGTGTGTGTGGGATAATTGATATTGGTTGATTTCACTGACTATCCTTCGGACTTCACCTCCACGCACAATCCTCAGTTGATCGATTCAACCATACACTCAGAAGCACCATACTTGAGTTTTGCTCTTATTAAAGCTCACCAGTAATGCATATCCACCGTCCCATCTGGGATTTGAAATCCGGACCCATTTCGTGGAAGGCGTATGCGTTTCTACTGCGCCAACCAGCTCATACCATGGCTGAACCAGATTGCCAATTCAGGTTTGTTCAGGTGTTGTCTTCAGTGACAATCAGTCAGGTAACAGGTTGTACCTGTGTCTCTCTTCGTTACCGTCAATGACTCAATGACTACCACTGGAAACGACACCAGAACAAACATGAATTGACAATTCGGTTCAGCCATGGTATGAGCTGGTTGGCGCAGTAGAAACGCATACGCCTTCCACGAAATGGGTCCGGATTTCAAATCCCGGATGGGACGGTGGATATGCACTACTGGTGAGCTTTAATAAGAGCAAAACTCAAGTATGGTGCTTCTGAGTGTATGGTTGAATCGATCAACTGAGGATTGTGCGTAAAGATGAAGTCCGAAGTCAGTCAAATCACTCACGGTACATTGATCTTCATAAAAAAGAAAAAAATATTCTATGATTTGCATGTGGACGGAATACTGCAAGGTGGCCCAGGCTAAAGCTGATGATTTTTTTCGGGGAAATCACAACCGGAGCGTTTGACTAGTAAGATGTACTTAGTTGGTGGACCGAAAGTCAGGGTCAGACAACAGTAAATTCGCTGACGGATCGCCCCATGTAACTGAGCCATCCGAATGCATTAAAAAAGGGGCAGTGCAACAGATGCCAACCATCATCGATCGCTAATTCATAGGTACATCGCCCTAAAATAGATTCTCGTGATGGGTAGGGCCAAGTTGCAATCGCAACAGATCGCTTGATCCCCATGGGTAGCGAGATGTTAAGCCCCACACAAACGCGAATGCAATTGTCATGAGATCAACACACGTGAGTAACATCTTTCAGTTTTATTCGATATCGGAAGAAATGAAATAATCTTCCTCTCCAGATTGGGATAGTTATCCCAATTCCTACGGTATGCACATGCTGATGGCCATATATTGATAACCTCACCACAATAGCAGCTGGATCGAAAGTGTCGGTTGCATACGAGTGTTACAAAATATCCCATCACACAACTGAAGACTAATTCTTTTGTCCCCTGACACGCACAACATAGGCCTGTAAATTGCTCCCGAGTGAATGCTCGGAAGAGTAGATCTGTATGCTATCGGGCGGCTAATTACACTATCAGGAATTGTAGGGCCTTTGGAATTCGGCCGAGTTATTCGTCTAACCATCATCGAATCGTTTACCACATAACCACCATTGCCTTTAGTGTTTTTCTACTTCATTTGCATGAACTTTCATTTTGGTTTTAAAGCCAACTATTTGGCGATTATAGTGATGTCCAATTTCGTCAAATGCACCCGTATACTTAGGAAAACTATCAAACGGTACCAATTTGAAGCTATCATCTGCTGAATATGCCTTTGTCCAGTTTCACTTGCCCAACATAGTTCTCCAAAAGAAGTTAATAAACCATACAGCTGACCACCAGCTCACCAGACTGACAAATACGCAACCACAAGAAATACCGAAAAGTATTGTGAAAGAAACCAACAAAACGTTGTTCTTGTCTCCCTCATGTGAATCTCTACGTCATTCTCTTTTGCACCAGAGTCCCTTTTTCTATTATTGTTGTTGTCGCGCTGGAACATGCTTGTTTGCAAACCCTTGGACACCATCGGCGTTTCTTTCAGTTTTTATTTTCTATTGGAGC